TAAGAATCTGTATAAAAAAACACTTACCTGCTGGCAAATGATTCATCAGAGATCTAGTAGACCTAGTCTGCTAGTAAAGTTGCATTGTAAACACGCGTACTTGTAAGTTGTAGCGTTATTATTAGGCCTATACATACGATTGTTAACAACCGGTTCGTGGAGGTCAGTAAATTCTAAGAACAGGTTCGCACGAACCGGTGCGAACTGGCTGAATCCCACCACTGAGAATAGAGGTTCCCAAACTTTTTTCACTGACGACACCCTAACCCATTTACCTTGATATATGAAACTCCCTGCTATCAGATGCAACATTTTTTGTAGAGTTTTATTCTTTGTTTCATGAAACTCTTATGGCATAGCAGCTCATAGAATGGTCTAAGTTGTTATTTTTTCAAATAAAAACTTTTAGTTCATAGCTCTGTCATCTCTTGACCGATTTGAGATCTAATTGCAGTTTTGTATTCAGGAGATCAAACCATTTTGATATATTAGACCATGCCCAAGTTCTCATAGATTAATTTACTTTAATCCTGCCTAAAATAATTTCAATTTGAGGGTAGGCTTGTAGATATCCTGATGAGTAGTAAAATTGAATTGCGTATACGCGTGCCCCACACTTCATATTGCTGGTGCATAAAAATATATCTAATCAAAAGGAAAAAAGGTCTCATAGATTAATTTACTCTAATACTGCCTAAAAGAATTTCAAGTGTCCTGGCTATTGAGGATTCCCTCTGGTTTTCTTATCAACTTATATATAGTTTCCCAGCGTGGCTACAACAATGATTAATATTGTTATGACCAGTATACATAACCTTACTTTGAAAGGCATCCACAAGCCTAGCTAATCAAATTGTCCATATTTCTGTACGACACTATAGCATCTGCAATACAGTTTTAAATAGTCATTAATGTAAACATGATGGAATAACCAGCTTACTTATTAGTGAATATGAGAAATAGCAAAATATGTAACACATAGAACTCTGAGGTACACCATTTGTGTGACTTCACTCAGTTTTCATCATAGTATAGTTTTATGTTCTAGAATCCAACTAACTTTCATTTCTTGGTGTAAAAACAAAAATCTTTCTGAGAAGTCTTATGTAGCATCTTATCAAGAGGTTTCTGAAAGTCCAAGTGCACCAAATCCACTTCATTACTACATCTAGATTAAATGTAACATTATAAAAAAGAAGAATTATAAGATATAACCTTCTCTTTTTGAATTCATGTTGACTAGATTATCTGTAATAGTGTGGAGCTTGTCTAAATGCTTTTTAACTTGTTTTTAAGTAGTAGCCTGTGGTAATTTTCCAGCTACTGTAGTTAGACTAATAGGCCAGTAATTTTGAATTTTCTGGCACCTCAGACTATTAATGGATTCATTAAAAGTTAAGTAAAAATTCAATTACACCAAATAATTTTCTGGAGGAAGATGTATTTGTGAACCCACCACACACATATTCCCTAATAAAAACAGATGAGGAAAAAACATTTAATTGTTCAGTCATCTTATAATCATCAACCAAAACCCTCTCATCTTTGTTTTTAAGGCACATTAAAAAAAATATTTTCTGTTGGTGTTAACATTTTTCATCAACTGTTTATGTTCCCATTTCAGTTTGTTAAGATCCTTTTTATCCACTTTTTTAAAGCTACCATCTCAGTGTCTTTCTTTAGCTATTCTAGAAAGTTTATATGCCCCAAAGCTACCATCTCAGTTTCTTTCTTTAGCTATTCTAGAAAACGTATATTCCCCAAAGCTACCATCTCAGGTTCTTTCTTTAGCTATTCTAGAACGTTTATATGCCCCAAAGCTACCATCTCAGTTTCTTTCTTTAGCTATTCTAGAACGTTTATATGCCCCAAAGCTACCATCTCAGTTTCTTTCTTTAGCTATTCTAGAACGTTTATATGCCCCAAAGCTACCATCTCAGTTTCTTTCTTTAGCTATTCTAGAAAGTTTATGTGCCCCAAAGCTACCATCTCAGGTTCTTTCTTTCTTTGTTCCTGACACCATTAAGTTGCTGATATCTTCTTTCCTGACTTTATCTTTGAAGTTCTGTGTATCTTGTCCCTTCTCCAAAATTTCAAACCTTTTCTTAAAAAAAAAGTAAACTCTTTTTTCATTATCACTGCTTGGCACACCTTGTAACAAAAGTAAAGCTATTTCCCTTATAATCTAGCATAACATAATATTATAAAGTTTGAGGGCCTGTGATCTATTGTGTATGTCCCATTCATTTGAACAGTTATTTGCCAGTATCTGACTTTTATTTCCATATAATGTAAGGCTATAACAAAAGAAAAACAAAGTAAGAGAAAGTTGTTTAGCTTAACAAGGTCACTCTTCACACATGAAAAACGTAAAAGAAATTAATCAAAGTTAAATATAGCTCTTCAAAATGATTTATATATATATATATATATATATATATATATATGAAATAAAATGTTAAAGGTTTGTAAAGAACCGTAACTGTAGTACATATCACACCATCAAGCAAATCATTCTGCACATTTGTAACTAACCAGTAAATAATTTTGCATCTTGACTTCCTGAACTTAACTCTTTAAGCCCATAATTATTTGTTCATTTTGCCAGAAATTATTTTCATGATGTCCTAATAATTATTGTCATACTTTATAAAATTTCTGGTCTATTTATGAAAGGTGGATAATACAAGAAGGTAGGAATGTGTTATATTTACATATCGCATCTGCTCAGTTCCTAACAATTTTAACTACCTGTATCAAGCCTGTTCTATTTCAATAACATTCAGGAGCAGTGTTTCCCAAACTGTGGTACATGTCTTCCCTGAGGGTATAAATAAGACTGGTAGGTGGTACACAAAAATAATTTAGAAAAATTGGAAAAACACTAATGATGGCAAAGACCATGGTACATGGCATGAACATTTTCTGAAGTCTGAAAAGCAGGGTTCTTGATGTGAAAAAAGTTTGGGAACCACTATTCTAGAAAAATGTCCAAAATTCTAAATGACTCCATAGTTCAAATGACTTAAACTAAGTATAATTCTAGTAGCCTTTTCTATACCGTTTCCAACATGTTAGTAACTTTCATGTAGTAGGCGAACTTGTAAGAGAACCAAATTTGCATGTAAAACTCTCATGTAAGATTACAATAATTTTGAACACTCTGAACTGATGACTTTTATTTGCTCTTTCACCACAACAGAAGATTTTAGGGTTTGATGAATAACCTAATTTAAATCTCTCTGCCTTTATTCACAACATCAAGGCTCCTTGCACATAAGAAGCAAGTCTTTAACAGATTTTATGATTCCTATTCTGTCTCATGTTTTCATTTGCCCCCTCTCAGTTGAGTTCTTAAGATCTGAGGAAAAGCAAATTTTATCAGGTAAATATGATATTTTGTTAAGTAGTCAACACCTTATGGCCCTGTGTTCACTTTCTGTTCTTTTCCTGAAAGTAAGAGTCCTAGCAAGTTGGTAAGAAAAGATCTAAGCTGCTAGGATAGCTTAGACCTTTTGTTACCAGCTTGATACTTGTTTGTCAAACTTATATAAATGACTTGATATTGTTTTTTTTCTTCACAGCCTCAGATCTTGAAGAAGTGATATTAAAATATTGAAGAAACTTAGGAGAGAAATAATGGAACATTTAACTGCTATTTTTGTGAAATTTCTTAATAAAAGAGAAACTGCTGATGTAGAAGGTATATAGAAGGTATATAGGGAGTATTGAAGAAACAATAGGCCTATTAGTCTGATTTTTTTTCCTAGTCTTTTGTTAGAAGTTATTTGAAAGTAGGTGTTTCATTAATCATATTAGAAAAAGGTTTTCTTATTTTACCAGTTTATTGGACTTAGCTGATTAAAGTCTTCATCTTTTAGGATGAGGATATTCTTGCTGATGTTGTTTACCTGAACCTTCAGAAACTACTTTTCATGGGATTGATTAATAAGTTGGATGCTTATGGGATTGGCAGAAAAGTCAAGAAATGGATTTGTAATTGGTTTAATAGTTGACAGGATAATAAGTGGAATTCTTGTAACTGAGAAAGTATCATTAGGTGGTCTCTAAGAGTTATGATTTTGGACATTTGTTAATTATTTCTATTAATAATGTGGATGCTACTAGTATTTCTAAATTTGATGATGAAACTAAAAATTAATGCTTTGAAGAGCCAATTCTGTTTATAATGCTTCTCTTATCTTAAAAGATCTTGCATGAGACTGGCGAGTTATCACTTGGAGTACAACTTACTGCATGCAGTCTTTGTTCCTCTACTTGTACTAAACGAAAAATATCACTAACTGAAAAGAGTATAGAGATATGTTACTAAAATGATACCTAGTTTTAAGTCCTTTAGGCTTGTTTTTTGAAGATAATCAAATGATATAATCTAACTAAGATTGTCATTCTTTTTATATTAATCTAAATGTAACTGGAAATGGATCATACATTTCTATGTGGTCATGCAAGATTGAAATTATAAAATTAATTATAATAATAAGGATTATTTTATAAATAAAGTCTAAGTACATGTAAAATGTTATATTAGTATCTAAAAGTAAAAAGCATGGTTACAATGTGTCTGTTCTTTAAAGAAACCTTTAGTATACGTGTATAGTTAAACAAGCTCAAGCTGTTACCTGGTAATTGAAGTGATAGATTGTTCATATATTTTATGACTGTTTATATAAAAAATATTCTTCTTAAGATCATGTTAAACCCATACATATATGCACAATTTTTGTTTCTAGATGTCTGTTAGTTCTTTTATGTAAAGCATCAAACTATGCTATTATTTAGATGATGCAGTAAGAAGCAAAAATGAAGAAAATAGTGAAAAAATTGGAATATTTGATGATGAAGAATTGCAAAATGTTTCAAAGTTGAATCTTGGGGCTGGTAGAGGAATGATCTTTCCAAGCATGAATGAATTGAACACTACAAACTTGACTTTCTCTAAAGGGTATTTATATGGAGAGCCTCTGAAGAAACGTGATGAGTCAGTATTTGGAGATTTGTACTTTGTTGGTAAGTAAACACATATTGTTGCTTTTTCTGAACTTGTTCTCCAGAGGATGCATTAGTTCACTTTTCATGCATTGGTAAAACTCACATGTACAAGTACTTACATAAAAAAGGAAACTACACCTACAGAATAGAGAAAACATATTGCTGAATATTTTAAAGTTGTCTGAAGATTAATTGCTTCAAATGGTTAATTAAAAGAAATATGTCCCCTTGTGGGACAATGGTAAGTCTAGAGATTCACAATGCTAAACTCAGGTGTTTGATTCCCCTGAGTGGATACAGCAGATAGCCTGATTTGGCTTTGCTATAAGACCAACATACAAAATAAACTTAATGGCTGTTGAAGTAATATTTTAAACCGGTTTACTTCACTTCTGCATGTGTGAATAGTGTGCAGTCTTTTAATATCAACTTTTATGATATGAATACTTTTTATTATTTAATTTTAAAATTTTATTGTAGCTTTTGTTACCTTTTTTATCACAATATGGTCAGTATATGGTATGATAAATTCAGTAAGCTATTTTTTAGTCTCAGTCTTTCTGTGGAAAAATTTGTGATTGATCAAATATATTGATCTGATCAATCTTGTGTTTGTACATGTATGTTTAAGTAAAAAATAATATTTTAATAATTGATACCATTTATTGTTTTAGTTATTGAAATAATTTATGTAAAAAAGGCTAATCTTTTTTCTGTGGTTGTAACACAAAACAAACAGTAATCATTTACTTGATGTTTTGTAAATGTAAACACATTGGAATTATCATGCAATCATGATAACAAAAGAAATAGTACTTAGTTATTACAAAAATATGAAAGGAACTTACAGTTTGTGTTAATGTTCTGAGAAAAAAAGATATTTTTCAAAAGAGTCATTAAGTTAAAAAACATTAGAAATACCTTATAATTTTTTGTGTAATAACTCCAAAATATAATTGAATAACCCTATTTTCAATGGAGTTAAGTTCAGAATGAAACATTAGAACAACTAAAAACATGTACAAAATAAAAAAATATGCAAAACTTTAACAGCACCACCACAGAAAAGCAACAGATATTGTGTTTTTGTGAAGTTAAAAGATATACTACATACTGATTTTATCATGTTTTGGTGTGACAGAATTGGAACCTTTATTTTTTGCTCTTTTAATACAAAAGAAAAAACTGAAAATTTTTGCAATGAACCAGTTAAACTCCCACATGTGGATTCGTAGTTTGTAATTGTTAGTTTGTATTTATTGCTGTTGATATAAGTTTGTCAAATTATATACATTTCTCTGATCTGGTTATATTTGCCAAATTTATGCAATCAGTGATATGTATCTGGTAATTGTTGAGGTACTGATAAGTAAAGAGCTCTGCTGATGTGTAATTTGCTAACTGTGTACAGGAAACTGAACAGTATGCTGTACACATGTACACCTCCTGAGTAAATATGAGTGTATATACCATGGACGTTTTAATGCAGTAGTTTGTATAAAGATTGTGCAGTACTTTCATCTACACTAAAGTATAATTTGGGGAAATATTGTTTATTGCACTCTAAAGATTTAAGATATCAGAGAGGGTTAATATTTAAATAAACAATGTACATTGAGCTTTTTTTATGAACTTTTCAAATTTCTTGACATTGTTTTACTAACTCTGCACTGTGTGTGAGTGTGTGTGTTTATAAATATATATATATATAGTGTAGAGCTGTATAATGTATTTAGTAAAACAAAACAAACCTTAACCAAAATGCTGCACTACAAAACAAAGTCATCAGGGCACAGCCTATAAGTTATTAGACTTATTTTTCTTAAAACATAGAACAGTAAGTAAAGAAGTAAAGCAAACAATTATCTCTTGTAGTTACGACCTTTGTACTTGGTTGCTGCTTGATGTAGGCTGCATATAGAGGATATGAAACGAAGTAATATTTTTTAGGTTTTATATATGCAATTAAATAACCAAAATATCATATATTACTATTTCGATACCATAGAATTCCACTATAACTTATCAAGCTTAGTGACTAAGATGTATATTAGTCTAAAAAAATATGAAATTTAGAGTAAACTAAAGACACAATCTACCTCCTTGAAATCTTGGTTTGAAAGAAAGAAATGGCATCTTAACACATGAAAATGGTTGATAAAGCGACTAGGGGACATTCTGAGCTTTTGAATGGCTATTCACTAGGCATATATTGAAATAAGTGTATATAAGGGACCGTTTCCAAAAATGGAAAGAGGAGACCGGGAGCCATTGTGTTTGATTCATTACATGAGTGATATATAAGCAAAGAGATAGGAGGTTCTTATTTTATATTCTAGCTGGTCAGTATTGGTAATTTGAGTCCCTAATGCATATAAAACTGTAGACATAGTATTTTG